ATAATTTATTCCATTTATATTCCGCCCATCTCTCCAGCAAGCGACTCTGGGCGGCCTGCAATGCCCCAAACAGGACAAAAACCCTTCCAGGACTGAAAGCGTGGAAACTTTAGGCATTAAAAGTTAAAACATGAAAGTTACTAGGGAAGCGGATCCATTCGCTGGGCTCCCTGCTAGCTCTCTCAGTTGCTCCCCCCCCCCCCAAAAAAAAGGGGGGGAGCGGAAGCTGCTTTCCGGGGTCTCCAGCTTTTGCCCCTTTAAAAAAGTTTCCCTCTGGAAGGAAGGACTTTTTTCCTTTCTCCCAGGACTCAAAAGGTTTCTGCTTGAAGGCCTCCACAGGTGGTTTGGGGATCATTTCCACCCCACGTCTCGCTTTTGGTTCTAGTAGGGACCCTCCTTGGTGGAAGAGGACCGAGGATGGGGAGACTCCAAGGGTACAGATGGACCTGGGGACATTGGCGGTTTCTGGAAGTTTAAAATTTAGATTTATGGGAGCAGGCAGAGAGCTGGGCATGGATGGGACCCAACTGAGACCGTTCAGGCAACAGGGAAGTAGGGCCACTTTTCCCATAAGTAACTTATAAACTCACTCAGATGTTCCCTTTAGGCTTCTTTTTCAGGAAATATTTGCCTGTATTCATTGTTTTCGTCCTTACGTTGATTGTTGCCTCACATTGTTGCCCTGTGACGTTTTTCTTTTTGTTCTGTCACTTAGCTCGCTCTGCGTGATAGTTGCTCACAGGATACTTCTCTGGGAGCTGAAATACGGTTCGGTAGTTAAATGTCTATGGAGATTCTCAAATCATCCAGGTCGTGGTTGTCCCAAAGGTGCCTTTTCAAAAACAACTGGAATTCCTTGGTTTTTTTCCCTTGAAAGCGTTTCACTTCTCCTGGAAGAAGCTTCTTCAGTTCTGTAGTTACTTCAGTTCACATTGGGAGTTTCGCAGGTTCAGGTTCAAGAGCATCCCTTGGTTGAGGATTAGGAGTGACAGGATAGCAGTAGTCCAGTATTTGAGAGGCTGCCCCAAAGAAGAGGAAGGGGCCCACCTATTCTCCAAAGCCCCTGAAGGCAGGACCAGAAGGCACAGATGGAAACTTATTGAGAGAAGCAACCTAGAAGTAAGAAGGAACTTCCTGACAGAATAATTAACCCGTGGAATGGCTTCCCTCCAGAAGTTGTGGGTGCTCCATCACTTGGAGGTTTCCAAGAAACGTCTGAACAACCATATGTCCAAGATGACATGAAGTCTCCTGTGTTGGGCAGGGAGTTGGACTAGAAGACCTCCAAGGTCCCTTCCATCCCTAGGAGTCTATGTTTTTGTCTCCATCTTCCTGTATTTCGCCAGCTTCTGACTATACTTGGTAGTGATGCTTGTCTCAGAACGGCCCATGCACTCTGCTGCCAGCTGTTCAATATCACCTTTGCTCAGATCCTCTTTGGGATACTGGAGAGCAAATGCAAAATGAATTCATAATATTTAGCTCTGGGTGATTCGTTAGAGGCACTTCCTCTTTGAGGCAAGACTGTTCTAGCTTAATAGACTTACTGCATCCTTTGTTTTAGCCTCCTGCTTGTTCCTCGCTGTTGGATACAGGTTTTCGTCCATGAAATTGCTCCCAGTGATGATCTGATTTTCCTTCCTCATTTACAGAGGAATCTTTGGTGCCGGTGGTTTTTTTTTTAATGACTAGCCAGGTTTAATGGTTGTCTTCAGATCAAAAAAAAAAAAGCTCCAATTTCTGGACCTGCTGCCCCCAAAAGTGATAAAAGTGGTGTAACTCCAAGTGTAAAGTTCGTTAATCTGTCTCAGGATTACTACAGAGATTCTCTCTAATCCTGAGTCCTGAAATCGATGATGAAAAGAGGATTCAGCTGGGTCAGCTCTTTCCAAAATTTTGATAACTGGGACAACCCCGCATTGTAAAATTGGAGGCACGCTTCTGTTTTTGGTCTCTTAATGCGAATTTGCTCTCTCAAATCCTATCCTGTGGAGGATTTGCAGTTAAGTTTGTAAGTTAATGGTCCAGTCAATATACAGTAACCTGTTCTCACCTAAGCTTCATTGCGGTTGCGCAGCATTTAGCATATTGGGGAAGATCCATGTTTTAGATCGAACCTCATAATAATCTTCTGGTGTCTTCTGGAGTCTTAACTTACATTAAGTACCTTGTAACCAGACATTGCCAAGCCAAAGATAATAGCCTTATGAGATTCTGTTCTTCTTTTGTGGGTTTTAAACGTGGAACTAGAAAGTGGCACTAGATTAGAAATTTAGCACAGGTCTTAATGATCTCTGTCGATAAGAACAAAATTCCATATTGCATGTGATGGCTGAGACTACGTGAGGCACACTGGAGGCCTATATTTAGCTGAAAGCCTTGTCCCACTTAATATCTGTATTGTTTTATTGCCATTGACAGATGCTCTTCTACTGACAGACAAAATTGTGCCACAATCAGATGCCAGGCATCCATCCTGCCCCTTGATTTGAACATGTTCGTTTGTTTTCAGACTTTCGGATGAGAATGGCTCTGAATCTTGTTTTATTGTTTCCTTTTCTTGGTCCTGAGAAAGGCCTGGCTAATGCAAGGAAGTAAGTTACAGAATAACAGAGTTCGAAGGGACCTTGGAGGTTTCCTAGTCCAACCCCCCTGCCCATACCATTTCAGACAAATGGCTGTCCAGCCTCTTCTTAAAAGCCTCCAGTGATGGCGCCTCCACAACTTCTGGAGGGAAGCCCTTCCACTGGTTAATTGTCCTTCCTCTCGGGAAGTTTATCTTTAGTTCAAGGTTGCTTTTCTCCTTGATCAGTTCCCATCTGTTGCTTCTTGTCCCGCCTTCAGGTGCTTTGGAAAATAAGTTGACTCCCCCCCCCGCTTTCTTTGGGGCAGCCCCTCAAATACTGGAAGACTGCTCTCATGTCACCCCTAGTCCTTCTCTTCATCAGACTGGACCTACCCAGTTCCAGCAACCGTTCTTCATATGTTTTAGCCTCCAGCCCCCCAATCATCTGTGTTGCTTTTTTCTGCACTCTTTCCAGAGTCTCTACATCTTTTTTATAATGTGGTGATCAAAACTGGACACAGCATTCTAAGTGTGGCCTTAAGCGGTACTAATAGTTCACACGATCTGGATTCTATCCCTCTGTTAATGCAACCTAGGATTGCACTGGCTTTTTGGGCTGCTACAGCACCTTGCTGGCTTGTACTTAAGTGATTGTCTCCTAGGACTCCAAAATTCCCCTCACAGGTGCTGCTATAGAGCCAGGTTTCACCTAATCTGTTACCTGTGCATCTGATGTTTCTGGCCGCATCTTTGAGGGGGGCTATTGGCCCTGATGGGGAAAACTTGAACAAGTCCAGGGGCAAATTTGGAAGCCAAACCTCAGTGTGGGTCATTCCACGGCGTGTTCTGTGCGTCCTAGACGGAGAGCCAAAAAGCCAAGATTGGCGTTGTTGCACTTCTCTTGCATAGCTCGTTTGCGAAGTTGTTGGCAGGCAGGCGCTGCCATAGAGAAAAAATGGGTGTGTGTATGTGTGCTTTGGACACGGTTTGTGCAGAGACAAGTCGGGCCAGCTAAAACTCCGTCTGTTTTTGCAAGAGAAGCGAGGGAAGGATGCCTGCGTAGCAAGCTGTGTCTCTTGGCTTTAATGGCTCTATTCAGGTAGTCCTTGGTTTACAACTGTTCATTTAGTGACCATTCAAAGTTACAACAGTCCTGAAAAAAGTGACTTATGACCATTTTTCACACTTATGACCGTTGCAGCTTCCCCATGGTCACATGATCAAATTTCAGATGCTTGGCAACTGACTCATATTTATGACAGTTGCAATGTCCTGGGGGGTCACAGGATCCCCTTTTGCGACCTTCTGATAAGCAAAGTCAATGAGGAAGCCAGATTACCAGCTAATTAGTAATTTAACAACTGCAGTGATTCCCTTAACAACTGGCAAGAAAGGTCGTAAAATGGGGCAAAACTGACTTTACAGATATCTCAGCAACGGAAATTTTGGGCTCAATTGTCGTAAGTTGGGGACTACCTGTTTGGGAACAGGGGCCAATCCTATGCTGCTGCCTCACTTTTTTAACACCTGCATGTCTTTTAAGGTGTCCACTGTTAAAGCCAAGAAACTTTAGGAAATGTCAAAGTCAGGAAACACCTTGGAATCTTTCAAGACTTGTGGACTTGAACTCACGGCTGGCTGGGGAATTCTGGGAGTTAAAGTCCAGAGGTCGTTGCGAAGTTTGGACACCCCTGGTCAACGTTATTCTCAACTCTATTTTGGGCCATGCAAGTAGACAGCCTATCTAAGTAAGAATAACATTAAGCCTTGCTTTGTCTTAGAAGCTTCACCGGAATGAACATATTAGGGAAAAATCTAACTTCTTTCAATCAATTTTTCCCCCTTCTCCCATCTAAATATCATTTTTGCATCAGCAACACAGTGAATATCCGCGCAGGGCTTTAAAGAATCTTCCTCCCTCAAAGAAGGCGGTGTTTCGTTTCCACATGAATCCAAAGTAGGGACTCGCGCGTTGCTCTCCTGCAACTAACCATATTATGACATCGTGTTCCTAGTTTCATGGCTTCCACCTTCGTATCCTCCCTGCGTGATCCAAAAGGATCACAATAGTTGAGACTTGTCATTTTATTAAGCTCTCCAGCCTCCTTTGGTCTGGAAACGGGGAAGGTCCGTGCTATCAGCCCCCGAAGTTGAAAACCGTACCGTTTCTCTGGAGTCCCACTTTCTGAACCGGAAAGCCAGGAATGAAATGGGAGGCTCCTGTTGCTTTCTGATTTACACGTCCTATTTTTGGACCTGTGGCAGTGAGGTTTCCTTGGTTTTGGTTTGCAGAGAGAGAAAACCAGAAAGATGCCCCGTGGTGCCCCGGGGGAAGGATAACCGCAGCTCCCCTGCCTTGTGTTCCTTTGCTCCAATTAAACGTTCTGCCGTGTGTCTTGGAGTAGCAAAATGGGCTTAGCCTTGCATTTTTGGAGCTGGTGGGGGGAAGTGGCCAGAAATGTTTGCTAAAGGATATTTCGGCTTAGCTGAGTCACTGGAACCTGACTGTAATTCTAGGCTTCTCCTGGCTTGTTTGTATAACTGACATACATTTCCCTCCTTTGGGCAGAATCTTGATAGCAGATACTAACGTTTTACGTGCAAGAGATTTCAAAGTGAAGTGCAGGCAGTTCTCAACTTAATACGTTTAGGGGACCGTTCAAAGTTACAGCTGCATTGGGGGGGGGGGGAGAGTGAGTTGTGACCATTTTCACGCATACGACCATTGTAGCATCCCCAGGATCACATGATCAGAATCCAGGCACTTGGCAACTGACTCATATTTACGACGGTCGCAGTGCCCTGGGGAAGCCAGATTGACCTAACATCCATGTTGCTAACTGCAGTGAGTCACTTAATAACTATAGCAGGAAAGGTCATAAGACGGGGCAATACTTACTTAACAATTGTTTCGCTTAGCAACAGAAATTTTGGGCTTGATTGTAAGTGATCGTAAGTCGAGGACTCCCTCTTTCATCTTCCCACCAAGTTTCACTGACCTGGCGGCATGCTCTCCTTTAAGACTACGCAACCCACCTCCAGTTTTGGCTTGCCGTCCCTTTGGTGCTGTGTTGCTGGTCCCCCCACCTGTGTGGCAAAGGTGCCTCTCTCGGGTGTGCGTGTGAGTGCGGATGGCATTTGCCGTGTTCGAAGGTATAATTAGGGCCAGCTGCCTCCCTGCTCCTCCTGGCCTCGTTTTCTTATGGGGAGCAGCCTTGCTTGAGTTAACTCTAATTATAGTGTCCAGGGAATAGAAGGACCCAGACAGCCGTTTCCTCAGCCTCTTCTTTCCCTTTCATTTAAAAAAGAAAAATACAGATGCTCTCTGTTTGTAGAACGGCTTTCATAGAAGTATGGTTTTGCTTTGCTCCCCCCCCCTCCCGAAAACGGGATGTCCGAACAGTGGCAGCGTCCAGGGGCAACGGTGGCCAGGCCAGGCTTAGGAATGTCGTGTTTTTGATTGATTCTTTCCCCTCTTCAGGGTTGCCCCAAAGGTGCTTTTTCAAGAGGCAACTGACTTTCTATGTTTTTCCTCGAAGACGTTTCACTTCTCATCCAAGGAGCTTCTTCAGTTTCTGCATCCTTGGGACAACCGTGACCTGGGGATGAGAATCTCCACCGTCGAGAGTCTGCTGGGCTGCTCTGGTCTTGAATTCCTGCACCTTAACCCACACCGTGAAATTTGAGGGGTTTTCTGTCAGCAGGCTGGCTGGCTGGCTGGCTGCCTTTGAATGGCAGTTAATTAGGTTCCTCCACCTCATCCGGTGGCGTCCTCTCCTTTGGGGGTCTTGGAGAAGTCATTTAAAGCTTTTCCCGACATTGCTTCTTGGGGCTCTGCAGGATTTGCATCACTCTCCCTTGAGCCTCTCAAAATGCAATTGGTGATTGTCCTCGCGCTCTCTTCCTTTTGACGCTCCTCCAAACGCCGTCTCTGTAGTGCCATGCTAGCTTTTTCTCCAACTAGCTAACTTTAATACGAAGGATGTCACGTTCATCATTCTGCATCAGTCATGCTCAAGATAGCTTCAGGGGCTGTAGATCGATCCCCTCTTCTCTGGGGCGGCCCCTCAAATCCTGGACCAGTCCTTCTTTTCCTTAAACTAGACACACCCGGCTCTAGCAACTGGGCTTTATATGTCAGTGGAGCGTTAAGTGGTTTAAAGGAACAGGTGTTGTATTTTGTTTTTTACTTCTGTGTTCCAAAGCTGGCTGGGGAATTCTGGGAGCTGAAGTCCACAAGTCTTTACGTGGCCAAGGTCGGACACCCTGTGCTACATAACAGAGAAATGGGGAGGGATTTCCCCAGAGTGTGTCACACCTGTTTCTCTCCCTTTTATGCAGGGGGATCTGAAGGGATCTGTCGAAGAAGAGGGATCCCAAAGGACCTACAGAGAACCAGGAGTTTCTGACCGGCTTCTGTGCCGCCCTATTTCCCCCTCCTAGTGTGAAAATTGGTGTCGTGGTGCTGCCTACGTGCTAACCCTGCTCCCCTCCTTGGAAACATGTGAGGGGTGCCCCTTTCCCTGTACTTTTCCTAACCCCTCCGTGGGTGTGTGTCGTGCTGAGGCCAAGGCGCTGGCCATCATGATGTTCCGGGATCAGGTGGGCATCCTGGCCGGCTGGTTCAAAGGCTGGAACGAATGTGAGCAGACGGTCGCCCTGCTCTCCCTCCTCAAGCGCATCTCTCGCACCCAAGCCCGCTTCCTGCAGCTGTGCCTGGAGCACTCGCTGGCCGACTGCACAGAGATCCACGTTCTGGAGTCTGAAGCTAACAGCGCAGGTAAGTTTTGTGTGTGTGTGTGTGTGTGGAGTGTGAGCTTTCCTCCCCAGCCCCTTTTTGTTTGCATTCTGATGGCCCATTTGGGTACAGCTAATCCTTAATTTATAACCATTCAGTTAGTGATTGTTTGAAGTTACTTCACTGGAAAAAGTGACTTATGGCCGCTTTTCACACTTACGACCGATGCAGTATTTCTCTCCCCACCCCCGTGGTCACATGATCAAAATTCAGGCACTTGGCAACTGGCATGTGTTCATGACAGTTGTGGTGTCCTGGGGGGTCATGTGATCAACATTTGCGACCTTCCCAGCTGGATTCGGAGAAGCCGGAGCCCCTGGGGGGAAGCCAGGTTTGCTGAGTGACTGCAGGATTCCCTTAACAACGGCAGGGGTTTGCAAGTCCAGCTGGGGAATTCTGGGAGTTGAAGTCGACGAGTCGTAAAGTTGCCAAGTTTGGCGAGCCCTGATCCAGCCGGCTGAAATTCCTTGGCTAATGCCTGTGGCAGCCCCGTAAAAGGGAGGGTGTGGCATCTGGTAGAGCTCTTGGGGCAGCAAGAGAGCCGCTGGCTCCGTCCCGTAGGGCAGGGCGGGGGAGGGGGAGGGGGAGGAGCCTTTTACGAGGAGGACCTGTGGCCTTCAACTGCCGGAAGGAGCCTGGCTGGCTCGGGAATTCTGGAAGTTGAGGTCCGCAAGTCCTTCAAGGGCCCCCCTTCCCTACGCCCGGCATGGGCCTTGGTGGCAAGGATCCCGCCTCCCGGTGAGGGCCTTCCCTTGGAGACCCCGGAGAGGTCCCCTGGCTCTTGAGCGGCCCGGTCCAATTGGCGTCCCTCCTTCTCTTCTCTTCCCCACCAGCTGTCATCAACCAATGGCACCAAGCGCCCAAAGACAAAGTGGTCTCCCTGCTCCTCTCCCACCTGCCCCTCCTCCAGCCCGGCAACGCAGACGCCAAGTCCGAGTACATGAAGCTTTTGCAGAAGGTGCTGGCCTACTCCATCGAGAGCAACCTCTTCATCGAAGAGAGCCGGCAGCTGCTGTCCTACGCCCTCATTCATCCGGCCACCACCCTGGACGACCGCAGCTCCCTGGCCCTGTGGCTCAACCATCTCGAAGAGCGCCTTTCCAGCGGCTACCCCAGCCAGGGCAGGGCGCGGCCGGACACGGCCTACCACTCGCGCCAAGGCTCCGATGACTGGCAAGGTCCGGGGGAGACGGGCCTCGGAGACCTGGGCCACGGCTGGCAGGAGAAGGCGCCGCGGGAAAACGGGCACATGTCCTTCCACCCCGCTGGCTCGGTGTCCTCGGGCATCAATAGTATTGGGAGCAGCACAGGTTCGGAGCGGCTTTGCTGGGGGAAGGGGTGGAGAAGGAGGGGTGGGGTGTTGGCAGCTGCAAACACTCTGGGATACGTCCAAATCCCGGCTAGGAAACCTTCCTTTGGGGCACCCCTGACCTCGCCACTCTCTGAAGGCCTCCACAGTTGCTTGGGCCGAGCCGGGGCAGCTCTTCCTGTATGTGGGAGCCGGTTTGGTCTAGCGATTAAGGCCCCGGGCTGGAAACCAGAGGGCCAGGCGCTCTAGTCCCATCTTGGGCACGACATTCGGCAGGGTGACTTGGGGCCAGGGACAAGGTGCTTGGGAGTTCTAGCCCTGCCTTAGGCCTGAAAGCTCACAGGGTGACTTTGGGCCAACCCCAGGAGACGGGGAGTTCTAGTCCCACCTTAGGCACCCAAGCTGGTTGGTTGGCCTTGGGCCAGTCCCCAAAAAGGAACTGGGTGGTTTGGTGACCTTGGCCTGTCTCTTCCTCGCAGCTCTTCCTTGCCAAATCCACCCCAGCCCGCTGAAGCGCTCCATGTCGCTCATCCCCACGGGACAGCAGATGCCCAGCGAGTGGATGAACGTGGACGAGATGGGGGCCCGGCCGGCCTTCATCTCCGGCGGGGAGCACGCACCCCTCTCGCCCCAGAGCAGCGTGGCTTCCTCAGGGAGCGAGCAGACGGAGGAGCACCCGGGCAGCCGGAACACCTTTCAAGAGGACGGCAGCGGCATGAAAGGTAGGACAGGTGTTGGAGAAGGCGGTCCAGTCGCCGCCCCAGGTCAGGGGCCCAGTCAGGGCTGGGAAGGCCCAGGGCCCAGTTCTGCCGACCTCCCGCGTCACTCCAGTCCTGGGACCTGAGGGGTCAGCAGGTGCTTCTGGTCCGGTCAGGCCTTCTTTGGGCTGCGTCTCAGCTGCGAATCCTTCTCTTCCTGGGTTTGTGACGGTGCCTAGATCGCAGAGAAGAGACCCGCATCGGGCGTCCTTGGTCTCCAGGAAGGAGGGCTTTGAGGGGGGCAGGGGTCTTGACTCCTTGGTCCTTCCCCACAGATGTCCCCTCGTGGCTGAAGAGCCTCCGTCTCCACAAATACGCAGCCCTTTTCTCCCAAATGACTTACGAAGAGATGATGACTCTCACCGAGCAGCACCTGGAATCGCAGGTACTGGGGGGGCGGGAGGGGCTCCTGCCTAGCTGGGAAAGGCCGGCGCTCGGGTGGTGCCTGGGAGAGCCAACGCTGCTGCTTCCCGTTCCTGTCACTTTGGTCACAGGGACACCCCCAAAATGCGACGCCGTGCCCTGTGGAGGGGGCCGCTCTGAAGACGCGGATATGTCCCCCCTATAAAGGCTGGAGGGCAGGTGCATGTCTGAATTCCCTTCTTAGCTTTCTTCTCCTCCTCCCTCCCTCCCTCCCTTCCTTCCTTCCTTCCTTCCTTCCTTCCTCCCTCCCTTCCTTCCTTCCTTCCTTCCTTCCTTCCTTCCTTTCTTCCTTCCTTCCTTTCTTCCTTCCTTCCCCGAACAGAATGTGACCAAAGGAGCGAGGCACAAAATTGCTTTAAGTATCCAAAAGTTGCGTGAAAGGCAGAGTGTCCTGAAGTCTTTGGAGAAGGTAAGAGACCCGCTGAGCCGGCCTGGGATTCCAGGGGTGGGTTCCCTTCCGTGATGCCTAAGGTGAAGGCAAACAGCTGGCACCGAAGCCAGCCGGACCCCAGGACCTTCCTTTCCCCTGGCCCCTCCCCCTCTTTTCCCTCCAGGACATCTTGGAAGGGGGGAACTTGTGGAATGCGCTCCAGGAACTGCAGCAGATCATCACCACGCCCATCAAGGCCTTCCACGCTCTGCACGCTGTGGCCGCGTCCAAGGAGGCCCAGCCCCTGGCAGCCGAGCCGAGGGGAGGCCCCACGCTGGGCCTGGAGAAGAGCAGCAACGAGGAGAAGGAGGCCACCGAGGACCCCTTCCCGCCCCCCACAGGCTCTCCGTGTGACGGAGAATCCGGGGCGGCACCGATCGCCGAAGGGGACATTGCAGGCCAATTCACTCGCGTGATGGGTAAAGGTGAGCTCTCGTGTGTGTGTGTGTGTGTGTGTGTGTGTCTCAGGCCCTTTGTATCTGCGCCCAGCGAGCAGGATAGGTGAGGCTGACTTTTTAAGGCGAGGCCTTCAAGGAAGCTGGAATGAGTGGGCTGTGGGTCTCTTGAAGGCCCCATCAGGAATACTCGTAAGCTACTCGTGGCGTTCCCAGAGTCTTGAGGATTGATGAGGTTCCTCTGAGGAGTAATGTTTGCTATTGATAGATGAGAACATTTGTAGCTTGGGGTTGAACTGTGGGGTCCTTGGTGCTCTCTGAGCCTGGTGGTTTTCCAGACGTTTCATGACCCAGCCAGGGGACAGCCTCAGTCTGCTCGGAGCTTGGTTGTCAGTGCGCTGATGACGTTTCCCAGTTGGGTCATGAAATGTCTTCAAGGAAACCACTGAGAGCACCGAGGACCCCACAGAGGTTTCTGATTGTTCCTTTACGTTGTGTCTGGCTTGCGGTTGTCCACCTTTGGTCTAAGCCTCCAGGAGTTGTTTGATTTGAGGGGTGAATAAGTTGGACAAACAACGCTAGTCAAACGGCTGATTCCTCCCCCCGTGACCATTTCCTCCTCCTCCTCCTCCTCCTCCTCTCTCGCAGTGTGTACGCAACTGCTTGTCTCCCGGCCAGACGAGGAGAACATCACCAGTTACCTCCAACTGATAGAGAAGTGCTTGATGCACGAGGTAAGCCTGGACGTTACGGGAGCCCCAGAGGTCAACCATCTGAAACAGCTGGGGTGTGTTTTTTTCCCCCCTTCCCCAATGTGGCTGCCTTTCTGTCCCCCTCCCTGACAGGCCTTCACCGAGACCCAGAAAAAGCGCCTCTTGTCCTGGAAGCAGCAGGTCCTGAAGTTGCTCCGTACCTTCCCGAGGAAGGCCGTGCTGGACATGCAGGGCTATCGCCCCCAGAAAGGGTAGGTCTCTGGGCACCGCCGGGGCCAAGCGCCTGCAGGGCATCCAAGCCGGCACCGGGAGCTCCGGGACTCTCCTCGGTGAAGGGAAACCTTGCAAGATGGTCCTGACTAGAGAAGCAGGCAGGCACCGGGTAGAACCAGGGCCACTTTTATAGCTATAGGAGCCGCTTCCACTCTTCCGTTGCGTCCGACGCTTGGTGGCTTTGTAGGCAAGTCCTCTCCCTGCTGCCCTCTCAGGCGCAGCTTCTTTCGGTAGTTGGACGTTCCCCTTCGTAAGCAGCTCGGGTGGTATCAAGCCAGCGTGTCTTTTTACTTGCGCCTCCTTCTGATTCGCTACCCGTTCCTAGCATCACCAACTTCTCCGATGAATTTGCATGCATGGCTGTGTAAATCAGACCATAGTCTTGTGGTTTTGGCTTCTGGTGATGTTTCTGGCTTTATACGATTCAGCACCTACTTTGTTGGTTACTCTGCTGTCCGTGGTATACACATTAATCGGTAATTAGCAATAGACTTCCATCCCGCTTCACAGTGCTTCACAGCCCTCTCTCAGCGGTTTACAGAGTCAGCCTCTTGCCCCCAACCCTCTGGGTCCTCATTTGACCCACCTCGGAAGGACAGGAGGCTGAATCAACTTTGAGCTGGTCACGATCGAACTGCTGGCAGTCGGCAGAGTTTGCCTGCAATGCTGCATTCTAACCATGGTGCCACCGTGGCCCTAATAATAATGGTTACTCCGGCTGTCCATGATAATATTCAATAATTGATGCCATAGTTCAAAGGGGTCAGTTCTTTTTCAGTCAGCCTTTTTTAATGTCCAGCTCTCTCACAAACAGACATCATTACAGGGAAGACTATTGCTCTAACTAGCCTGCTTTTTGCATTTATATCAATGCCAGCAGTTCAATCCTGACCGGCTCCAGGTGGACTCAGCCTTCCATCCTTCCAAGGTGTGTAAAATGAGGATTGGGGGCAAGAGGCTGACGCTGTAAACTGCTAAGAGAGGGCCGTCAAGCGCGGTGAAGCGGGATATAAGTGCAAATGCCATTGCAAGAGAATATTGCAAGTCTGGACGTGCTCCCCTTCCTCCCTCTCTTCTCGTGAGTCGGGCTGGGGAGGGGGTTGAATGGCCTGGTGGGTTCTCACAAGCCACTTTCTTGGTCTGGGCTCAGCCTCATCTACCTATCCCCCGAGGCCGTTCCAGTCCTTGGATCCGCAGAGGGCTGCCTTGGGACGGGCCAGGACAGAGCTGGATCTGCAGCCGCGTCCTTCTCCTCCTGTAGGAATAAGGGAGAGCGGCTCTTCGGCGTCACAGACCTTTGCATGCGCAAAACCCACTTCCCCAAAAGATCCCGCTGTCTTTCTGAGCAGCTGTTGCGCTCGCTAATATGATAAGCGGAGGGCAAGTTTTGTTGCTTTGTGGTGTCAGCCTGCCACGCAAGCGACACTTTGGGGATCCTTTGTGGGAAAGCGGGAACCAGATCACTCTCAGAACTGTTTCCGAGCCGCCACTTTCAACTCGTAAACCCTGAGGAGCCTTGCCACTGATGGCTCGCAGAAGGGAATTTAGTTGAACGATAGAAAGGGGTTTCTTTTTTTGCTTCAAAGTGATGGGGTGTTTTGTTTTTTTTTGGTGGAACGGATGCTCTCCTACTTAAGCTGTCATTTTAGTACCTGCAGAGGCCCCTGCTATTGTGAGGCTGCCCTGGGCAAATGGAAACTGCTGCCTTTGGATCCTTTGGGCTTCGTTAACACACATCCTTATTCAGGGAGAGGAGATTTTGGGTGGGCTTCCTTTGCGATTGGGATGGCTGGCTGTTGTCAAATATAAGCGGAAGGGAGGAAGGAAGGGAAGGAAGGAAAAAGAAAGGAAGGAAGAGGGAAGGAAGGAGAGGAAAGAAAGGGAGGAAGGGAAGGAAGGAAGAGAAGGAAGGGAGGAAAGGAAGGAAGGAAAGAAAGAAGGGAAGGAAGGAAGGAAGGAAGGAAGGAAGGAAGGAAGGAAGGAAGGAAGGGAAAGGAAGGAAAGGGAAGGAAAGGAAAGGAAGGGAAGGAAGGAAGGGCACCTTGGCTCCCATCCTGGTGTTCCTCCCAAGAAGGCCACACAAATAGGCCTGTATTTCAGGGTGCCCAACCTGTGAGCGACAGCCTTCTACTGAGCTGTGGCCGCGTGAGTGTCACGCATGCAGGGAGCCCCACTAGCGGGATCAGCAGACGTGCGTGCTTGCCACTGACTAGTGAAGTTGACAGATGGTCTTGGAGGGTGGGGGAGAGGGAGGCTCCCCAGGGCCCTTCTTCTGAGCCGCTTGAATGGCTTGGCCGCCCCTTTGGCCGTCTCGGCTTCAGCGGCCGCCAGTGGCATCGCTTTGGGTGGGGAAGGGACACCAGAACCGATGATGCCCTTGACTTCCTCTCCGGGGTTCTTCCAGGTGGGCCTTTGGCTCCAACTCTCTCCCCATAGCTGGATCTGTGGGGGTGGGGGTGGCCCGCCGAGGACAGAGGCAGTTCCAGATGCCCCCCCGTGCCCTCCCCCCGAGCCGCATGGGGATCCTGAGTCCCGTGGGGATCGGCGGAGTGTCTCCACGGCACGGACTGACCAGCCCGAATCTGGGGAGCCAAGGTCGGCAGGTAAGACCCGGTGGAATTCGGCAAAACCACGTCCGAAGGCCTTGGGAACAATGTTGCTGGTCAAGAGGTGCCCACGACCGGGAGAAGGTTGGGGGGGATCTTCGGCCATCACCCCACAGTGAACCCCCCCCCCCCGCCTTTGCCTCTCTCAGTGGCCTCTCGGCCAGGTGCAGGTCTTCCGGCCAGCCAGGTGACCCATCTCTGGGAGGAACGGTTTCTGTTGCTTCAAGCCCCACCCCCTGCTCAAGCAGGAGACCCCCCCCCATTTCAGACAAGTGGCGGTCCAGGGTCTCCTCCAAAGCCTCCAGTGTGGAGCGCCCACGACTCCTGGAGGGCAGCCCTTCCGCTGGTGAGCTGACCTGACTCTCGGGAAATGCCTGCGGTCTCCGAGGGGCTGCCCCAGAGAAGAGGAGGGGGTCAGCCTGTTCTCCAGAGCACCTGAAGGCAGCAGGACCCCAAGCAACAGATGGAAAGTAACCAAGGAGAGAAGCAACCTAGAACGAAGGAGGATTTTCGTAACCGTGAGGACAATGAACCAGCGGAACTGCCTGCCACCAGAAGCTGTGGGTGCTCCATCACTGGAGGTTTCCAACAAGACCACCTGTCTGAAATGGTAGAGGGTCTCCGGCTTCAGCTGGAGCCTCTTATTCTGCCGCTCTGACCCCACTGGGCTCTGGGGGTCCCAGCTGGGTGGAACCGAGGAGGGTCGCTAGCGGCGCCCGTGCCTGGCTTTTCCCACCGGGTCCCCTGGGGCCTCCTTGGTGCCCCTGGGATGAACAGGGGTGTCCGGCCTGGCCCTTCTCCTCTGGGCGTTCCCCAGAATCCTTTTCCTTTCCTTTATTCCTGCTTCCTGTTTCCCAACCGGCTTCCTCCTTCCTCTCCCGCAGAGCCTCTGGTTTGCCAACCCGGGGGGCAGCAACAGCATGCCTGGCCAGAACCGCAGCTCGGTCCAGCGGACCCACTCGCTGCCCGTCCACACCTCCCCTCAGGCCATCCTCATGTTCCCGCAGGGTGAGTGAGCCGGGCCTGTCGCCTGGGGGGGGGGGGGGGGGGGGGCTCCGTCTTCGTCCTGCAGCGGCGGATGGCCTGGAAACGCTGCTGGCAGGGTCCGGTTTTGGGGCCCTGGCGGGGGGGCCTCCCAAAGCGCTTCCTCCTCCAGGATCTGCCCTCCCCCCCCGTTCCTCCCCCCCTTGAGCAAATTCGGGGCCCCTCCCTCCCCCCCCCCCCAGCTCCAGCCAGGCGCCTCCCACGGCTGTGCCTGATGGTCCTTCTCCCCTTTCCTCCCACCTCTCAGATTGCCAGCTGCCTGGAACGGATCTGGAGATCAACCCCACCTTGGAGTCCCTGTGCCTGAGCATGACGGAGCACGCGCTGGGCGGTGAGAGAGCCACCAGATGGCGAGGACGGGTGGGGGGCGGCAGAGGGGAGGCCAGTGAGGGGGGGGCGGTGAAGGGGGGGGGGTAGGGGTGGGGGGGGGGGGGGACACACAGACCCCCATGTCCAAGTCCCCTCCTGGCCGCCAAGGCTGGTGGGGCCGCCCCGTCCCTCAGCCCGGACTCCCTGCAGGGCGGGCATGGACGCCAGCCTGACCTTCTGAAGGAAAAGTAGGATATAAATCTAAGCAACACAGGGCGTCCTCGACTTACAACGGTTCGTATAGTGACTCTTTGAAGTGGAAAAAAGTGACGTACAGCCGTTTCAGCATCCCTGCAGTCACGTGATCCACATTCAGAGGCTTGGCAACTGGCATGTACTTAGGACGGTTGCACAGGGACCCTGGGGGGGGAATCACATGACCCCCTTTTGCGACCTTCCGACAAGCCAAGTCAAAGGGGAAGCCGGGTTCGCTTAAAACGACCGTGTGGCTCACTTAATAACTGTTGCAAGAAAGGTCGTAAAACCAGGGCGCTGAACAGCTGTCTCGCTTAGCAGCAGAAATCTTGGGCTCAGTTGCAAGTCGAGGACTCCCTGGAGACCCCTAAAGCGAGTCTTGGTTCCGCTCGGGAGGAACCGGGCGGCGCTTTGACTTTCACGGACCGCCTGTTTCCCTGGCGAGGCTCTGATCCGAAGGGGCTCGGAGGTCAGCCTGAAGTGGCCCTCCCTGCATCCCGCGAGGCTGGTCAGTCTAGGTGCCCGGTCAGTTTCTGATCTTCTTTGAAAGAGCGGCTTTAAAAGCTGAGCTGCGGCTGCCATCCTTTCTCCTCCTCTAGGGCCAAAGCTCCTGGGACCCGAGGAGCAGCTGGAGAGCCGCCTGACTCCCCGGGAAGGACTACCATGCCCATGCTTCCCACCCACCCCCCAGGGCGAGAGGAGAGCAACCGGCAACCCGTGATATTCATGGGGGTCTCAGTGACGGCTGGAGAAGAACAATTCAGAGCCTCAAAGAGCCCAATTCCTTGCCTTAAAAAAATATACAAAGGTTTAAAGGAGGAGGGGCCTTCAAACTGGGCAGCTTTAAGACTTGTGGACTTCCTCTTCACGTTAGCTCGGGAATTCTGGGAGTGGAAGTCCACAAGTCTTCAACTAGCCAAGTTTGAAGACCCTTGTGATAGATAGATGATAGATAGATGATAGATAGATAGATAGATAGATAGATAGATAGATAGATAGATAGATAGATAGATAGATAGATAGATAGAGGAAGGTAGGTAGGTATGTAGAGATGGATGGATGATATAGATAGATAGATAGATAGATAGATAGATAGATAGATAGATAGATAGATAGATAGATGATAGATAGATAGATAGATAGGTAGGTAGGTAGGTAGGTAGGAAGAGAGATGATAGGTAGGTAGGTAGGTAGGTATGAAGAGAGATGATAGATAGATAGATGATAGATACATAGATAGATAGATAGATAGATAGATAGATAGATAGATAGATAGATCAGGGAACTTCAAACTTGACAGCTTTAAGACTTGTGGACTTCAACTCCCAGAGTTCCTCCTCCAGTCCATGTTAGCTCAGGAATTCTGGGGGTTGAAGTCCCCAAGTCTTAAAGCGGCCAAGGTGGAGACCCTTGATTTAAAGTCCGTGCAAAGGCGGCCCTAAACCCCCCATGGTGTCCAACCTGGGCCACTTCAGATCTGTGGACTTCAATTCCAATTCTGAGAGTTTGAAGTCCACAAGTTTTAAAAGCGGCCAAGGTTGGACAGCCCAACTCTAGTATTTACCTGTTTACACCCCACCTGAACACATTCAAAGATCCCCAGGACATCAAAGCCCCCCACCCACCCGCCCCCCCGTTGAGAAGACGCCGCCCATCACCCCGCCAGTGCGCCCCCCCCCCCATGCTGCCCCCTCACCCCTGTCCTCTCTCTTGCAGATGGCACGGACAAGACCTCAACCATCTGAGCAAGCTGGATCTGCGGGCATCATCCTGAGAAGCTTTAGGATGGCTGTTTATTTTTTCTCCTCCCAATTCCTTTCCGTTTTTTTTTTGTTTTGTTTCAAGCCCCTCCCCCAGGGGTATGTCACTACGGGGGTAGGTGAATAATTTTTTTGTTTTCCTCCGACCCCCTTCCTCCTCCTCCAACCCCCCCCCCCCCCCCAAAATGCCCTTCTCCAGCGTTCCTTAGCAGCCAGAGGAATAGAGGAGAAAAAAACTGTCACTACAATCTTTACCATCTTATTGTGTTCTAATATTTTCCTATTTTTTTATTATTCTTATAACTTCAGATATTGGTTCAATATTTTGATGTACGGGGGGGGAGGTGGCAGTCTCCCCGGTTTAACGTGCGGACGTCGGGGGTGGGGTGGGCTAAATTAGGCCCGGTATAATTTCCGGTTTGGTTTGCCCCTCCCGGCCCCCTCCCCTCCGTTGCAGTGCCTACCTCCTCTCTCGCCCTCCCAGGAAGGGACCGGGGAAGGGAAGCCCAGGTGACACCTGAGGAGAACCAGAGGTCACGCTGAAAGACCCCCCCACCTCCTCCTGTCGCACTGGGGATGGGAGGGAGGCTTGGGGGGGGGGCGGGGGGGCGGGTCCCCCGGGGCCCCCCCCCCCCCCCCCCCCAGTAGTTCTGGGTCTCTGCCTTGGAGGAGGGGAAGAAGCCAGAAGAGCCGGGGAGGAGGAAGAGGAGGGGAGAAAAGGGTGCAGCAGGTGACTTATACAGTTTTAAAAGTGCCTCTAATACTTGCTTCTACCAAGAGTGGTGATGGGGTGGGAGGGGGACTCCAGGGAATGGCCCACTGGGGGGAGGGGGGGGGGAGAATGGGGGTATCCAGCACACACACGATCCGTGTCCAGTTTTCCATTTCACACACTCAAAACCCCCCTTTTGGGGAGCTGGCCAGAGGAGCTTAGCCGTCAACCAGACATAGCGTGGTATTTTTTTCTTTTTAACCCCTTCAGTTCCTGCCCAGTTCAGGCTTTCCCCCCCCCCCCCCCCCCCCCCCTCCCTTTCTAAAACGTGGCAGTATTAAGCCGAGTTCTGTTGAAGCAGTTTGGGTGGGTTGGAGACCCCCCGTTCGGGTTTCAGAAGCCGGATTCTCAGTTGAGCTGATTTTTGAGTTCCTGGCGTGGTTTCCAGGCTCTCTCCCCTTTCCCCTTAACCCCCCCACCCCACCCCCTTCCTCCCCCCTCCCCCAGGTTGCGGAGGGGTCAGGAAGCGGCTGGGGTGGGGTTAAACAGTTGCAGCACCTATGCAGCATCTCCCAAAACCGGTCAAGAAGTTTTTCTCTAGTTCTTCACAGTCGTTTCGGTTGGATAATTGTGGGTCTTCCTTGGTTGCAAGGGACGGTGGGGGAAGAGTGGGGAGGTAGGACCAGGGCAAACTGGCCATGGCAGCACCTGAGCATGGGGTGGGGGGTGAGTGGGTGGGGAGGGGGAGAGAGCCTGAAAACCACGTCCCTGGTATTTAGCAAGACGGGGCGAGTTTGCAAAGCTGGGCAGAAGGACCTGCCCACCCGAGGCTGGCATGCAAGGGATCCAGGAACCAGGGTCATCGTTGCGAATGGGGGCTGGGAGGGGGTAGGAAAGACTTTGGGGACCCCTCCGAGTGGGCTACAAGATTGGGGTGAGGGTGAGGGGGGGCTGCAGGAGACCCTGCTGCTGCTGTGGGGCTGGGCACCCCCAGGCCCTCCGTTGCAGCGCTTCTCCAGCCACCTTGTTTACAGTTTCCTAGTTTTGGATAGCTTTAGTGCAGGAGGGAGGGGAGGACATGACGAGGGGGGGGGTCCCCTCCCCCTTTCCCAAGGAGGCAGGGCCAGGAAAGACAGGGCAGAGCTGGGCTTGCAGACCCGCCTTGCCTGTGGACAGCAGGGCCAGGTAAGCAGGGCGAGGTGTGGGGGTTGGGGGCTGGGAAAGTTTACTCAGTCAGGCGGGGGGGGCGGGGGGGGGCTGGGCACGGTGCCCCTGCTGGGGGTGGCAGCCCCTTCCCTGCCCAAAAGCCAGTTCTTAGGTACCGAATCCTCACCGACTCCCCGCTCCCCCTTTCACACCACCGAGAACTGTTCGAAGTCTGAAAAGCCTTTTTCCAAAGTGTGCACCGAAGAGCCGTGTACAAAGACGAAACAAAAAAAAGACGAGAAAAACAAACCAGACAGAGCTACTGTATTTCTAAGGGGGAAAAAAAAAAAAGTAGAGAGACAAGGTTCCTGTTTGAAATAGAAATGTTATTTTAGATACATTTTATTATGAATAACTTTTGTTATGACTATGGCTGGTAACCATGAATACGTTATTTAAAAAAAAAAAACACACACAAAATGTTTTACAAAAAAAAAAAAAATCGAATTCTGACTTTAGATTGCTTTGTTTGGACTCCTTTTGCTGCTTTTCTCCCACCCCCCTTTCTGGTTTTTGGCTTTGTAAAAGGCATATACAGAATTTAAGCATTAGTCCTTTTTTTATTAACCTCTATGATAAAGCTGTGCTTATTTTGTATGATTTTTTTAAGCGCTTGGTTTATTGGGGTTGGGGGGGGCGGGGGCTTGGCCCAGCTTGGCATTTCCTCCCAGTGGCCTTAATGCAGGGAGGTCTCCAAACTTGGCAGCTTTTAAGACTGGTGGACTTCAACTCCCAGAATTCCCTTCAAGTCCACCAGTCTTAAAGTTGCCAAGTTGGTGGGACCCCTGCCAAGTTGGAGGGATTTAGTGGGGGGGGGGGGCTATTAAAAGTTTGCCTTGCTCTACCACTGGGGTCCCCAGGACGGCCGGCTCATTGAGACCAATCCGATCATCTGGATTTTCTCCTCTGCAATTCGCCCCTAATCTGGAGTGGGAGGCATTTAAAGTGGGTAGTTCTGACCATCGAGTCCCTTCTGGTTGGGGAATATCTGCCTTGATTGGGTTGAAGGAAGGGCGGCTTCTTTGGACCGACTGAGCCGGCCTCGGGAAGTGTCAGGTGTGAAAGACCAGGCGCCCAGGTGAAGGTCCAGTTAAGCTGATTTATTGCACAGGAATTTTCTCAATAGTCGGCATCGGTTCAGAGTTCGGGAAGGGTCAACAAAATTCAATGGGGAATTGGACTTAGTTCTCTTGTGGCTATGTAGGGGTGCTAGGCTGATACCTCTTTTAACTCCGCCCCCAAGTCCTGCCTGCAGGAAGAGAATAGCAGTAGCCGTTAGACATACTGCTCCATGGTGCTTTCCAGCCCTCTCTAAGCGGTTTAGAGACGTGGCACGTTGCCCCCAACAACCCGGCTCCACATTTTACCGACCTCTGAAGGATGGAGGAAAGCGGAGTCAATTTTGAGCCGGTCAGGTTTGAACTCCTGGCAATATGCAGAGTTTGCCTGCAATACCGCGCTCTAACCACAGCGCCACAGCTGTTCGCGGCACCTTCTAGCACAGCGTTTCCAAAGCGTATGGACTTCGACTCCCCTAATGCTTATCAGTGGACACGCTGGTGGTGGGGAGTTGAAGTCCACTCCAGTCTGGGGGGATTTGCCTTTTGGATGCCCTCCTGCGTTTGCCCTGGGGGTGTCTCGGGGTCAACCCTCATGCCCAGGTCCATGGGGTTTGGGGGCTGGTGGGTTTCCTGTGGGGCCATGCAGTGGCACCAGACGATCTGCCCTTTTAGCCAATTCCCATTGGCAACCTTTATTGGTTTTCCTCTAAACAGGAATTCTCGGGGAGATTCGCGAATACATTTTAGCACACGTGGCACATCTGTACATCAGTTTAAAGGCTCCTGTCGTCATGGGTGATGAGTTTGCGCATGCGACTCCACCCAATTTGTGGGAAACGTGTCCCAAGTTTGGAAAGCGCTGCATTAGGTGGCCTTTTTTAATCTAATTCGGCTGGCTCAGCAGCTGTAGGAAGCCAACATGGTTTGTTCTTAACCCAGGCAACGATCTAGCAGGACTTCCTTCTATGGCCCCCTCTGTAGCAGCTGCCCAGTGGCACCAGTGTCTTGGCAACACCTGCACGCACACACACACACACACACACCCCTAGGTCTTTTGGACCCCCCTCTCCCTGCTCAGCCAGACCCACCCTTCCTGACCAGCAGTGGCCGGTCCCATTTGGGGGGGGGGTTCCCCTTTCAAAACCCAAAGGCCGGGGCTCGGGCCGCCCCCCCCCCCCCCCCCGCCCAGCGCAAGAGTCCAGCACGAGGCGCAGTGGACCAAGGCGGCTTTAATGATAAGACAAGGGTACAGAGCAAGGAGGGAGTTCAGGCGGGGAGGGTCCCTCCCCGGGGATGCGACGCCCGCAAGGTCTCGGGGTCTGCAGCTGCTCCTCTTTTGGGGTCCTCGAAGCGAGACCCTCCGGGTTCCCCCTGCGGCCAACAGGATTTGGGGTGCTCCTGAAGCCTCCCCAGAGCAGCAGCTACAGGTAGCCCTCAACGCACGGCCACAGCCAGGCCCAGAATTTCTGTCTGCCAAGCGAGACGAGCAAATCTTGCCTCGTTTTATGCGCTTTATGGCCACGGTCGTTAAGTGAGCCACGGCCATTTTTAACCACGCTGCTGGGGAGGGAAATGAACCCGGCTTCCCCTTTGACTTGGCTTGTCAGGCGGTCGCAAAAGGGGTTTGCTGCAATGATCACATGACCGGGGGGGTGGGAGTGTTGCTGCAATGATTGTGTTAAAAAACAGGGTCATAAGTCACTTTTTTAGTGCTTCAGTCGCTAAGTGAACCATTGTTAAGTCGAGGCCCATCTGCATAACTTGGAGGAATGGAAGAAAGGCAAAGAAATGCGGGATTGTGCCCAAGGTGCTTGGAAACAGCTCCGACCCACGACCCCCCCAAACGTTGTGCGTTTCCTCAGGGAGGGGAGGCTGGAGGGCCCCCCGCTGGGGTGAATCCCCCGTCTGGTGGGGGGGGAGGGGGGCTCAGCCCTTTGATGCTACGAATTCTGGTGAATTGGAAGTCCCCCGTTTTTTGCTCTGGCTTGCAAAGGTCCCGGAAACTTCCTCCAAAGTCTGGATTTTGCCCCCGGATGGGAAAAAAGGCACCCACAAACCCCCTTGTGCTCACAAGCCCAGAAAGGCCTGGAGGGAGACGGGGCCGCTTCCTCCGCCCAAACCCTTCCCGGACGTGCCAGGTTACTGTGCTCAGCGTTTCCAGCCGGCGTGCTAGCTAGACGTGCCGGGAACCAGCCCCCCCCACCCGTTCTGGAGAAGGCCAGGTAAGAGACGGCGGGTCAAGGAGTACGAGGAAAAGGCAGGCAGAGCCAGGAGGCTGGGGCTCAGCTTCAGGTGCCCCAGGTGTCCAGGCGCCGCACCCTCACTCGCTGCTTGTAGTGGTACTCCTTCAGGTACTCCTTCAGCGCCCGCGGCAGCGGCAGGTGCCCGATGCCATCGTAGGTGGTGCAGCAGGTGACCACGGCCCGGCAGAGGTGCTGCAGGCCAAAGGGGAAGGTGCGGTGCACGGGGATGGAGAGCAGCGGCTCAAAGAACATGCAGACGCTGGGGTCCTTGTAGTGCTCCAGGAGGCCGCTCACGGTGGGCGCGTGGAAGACGCTGGGGTCGTGGACGTCGAAGCTGAAGTTGTGGTTCCACTGCTCGATGCGGGCGTGGAGGGAGCGGCCGTAGCGCCGGAAGCTGACGGAGAAGAGGTAGTCCTCTTGGGCCGAGTCCCGCAGGAGGAAGGTGCCCTCCGGCTTGCCCTCCAGCAGCGACTCGGCTTCGTAGCGGTCCATCACGCCCCAGTAGCAGGAGAGCTGGGTCAGCTGCAGCAGGTCAGGCACCAGGCAGTGGATGTAGTCGATCTGGGTGTGCGCCCGCAGGCCGTCCCGGACCTCCGGCAGCCCGACCAAGGCTGACTCCAGCTCTTCCACCTCCTCCTCCTCCTCCTCCTCTTCCTCCTCGTCCTGCTCATCCGTGGCGGTCAGCATGGCCCGGCCTGGCCCGGCGAGTTCAGTCATGCCGTGGGCGAGCTTGGGCCCCAGTTTGTACAGGGGGTTGATCTGCGCCGTCACCTCAAACGTGTGGATCAAGGCATCCGGCGGGGGCTCCACGCCCTGCTCGATGCTGATGCGCCGGCGTTCCCTCAGGCGGTCGTCCTCATCCTCGGGCGGCAGGGTGGCCAGGCCCTCGTGCTCGGAGACGGGCACCGTGTGCTGCTTGATCAGCTCCCAGGTGCGGGCCAGCTCCGAGCCCGGGGGGAAGGGGCAGGTGTCCAGCATCAGCTCCCGGAGGTGGATCTTGCGCTGGGAAGAGAGGTCCGGTGAGCGCGACAGGCTCTTGATGGGGAAGCACTGCCCCACGGCGGCCTGCAGCTTCTGCCGCAAGGAATGGCCCAGCCCCTTGGAGGGTTCGGGGTCTGCCCGCTGGGCGCCCTCCGTGGCTGGCCCCACTTTGGACGAGGGAAGGCTCCGTCTCTCCGAGGGGTGGCTCAGCCGGGCCTTCCCACGCCCGGCTCTACGGCTGCTGGTGCCGCCATCCGGCTTCACTTTGGGCCGAGCCCCCGCTGTCTTGTGGCATGTCCCCCCGGGCACCGGGCACGGTGGAGGGCTGGCGCTCCTCCTGGGCACTGAGTGAGACGGCGGCTCCTCTTCAGAGGACAGGGTAGACCGAAGGGGCCGCGATGATGCCGACCTGGGGAAGGAAACAGCCGAGCGTGATTAGCTGCCCGTCTGCCCCCCCAAACCCAGCGAGAGCAAATCACGAATGGCCAAGTCAGAATCCCAGGGGGTCCTCGACTTAGGATAGTTCATGGAGTGATCGAAATTCAGGCGCTTGGCAATTGACCCGTATTTATGACGGTCACAGAGTCCACTTGGGGGTCACCTGATCCCCCTTTGTGACCTTTGACAAGCAAAGTCAGTGGTGAAGCCAGGTTCACTTAACAACAGGACCGTTAGGCTCCATTGTGGTCGTAGGTCACAGACTTCCTGTACATGGGCGCCATTTCTCAACCTTGAAGCTGGGTGGCCTTCAACTCCCAGAATTCCTAAGCTGTCTGGCCGGGTGCTGGGACTGAGAACTGTCATGCCAGCCATACTTGGCCCGCAGGACTTGGGGCTCAGGGCAAGGGGGGAACCCCGCCACCTGCCAAGAAGGATGGCTCAGCAGAGCCTGCAGGTGAACGTTGGAGAGAGAGTGGAGAGATTCCTCGCCCTCCCCAGCTCTTTTCTGGGCTTGGGGTTTCGGGGAGGCCTTGCCAGCCAGGTGCCAGCCTCAAAGCGGGCCTGTTGGGATGGCACACTGGGATGGAGGCTACAACCCACAGCTGCTGCTGCGACTCGCCCAGGGGGCAGAGCAAAGAACTCGCACTCAAGATCCTCTTCCCCACCCCCAAAACCCGAAGGAGGGCTGCGTGAGTTTCTGGTGCCAAGGAGGCAGGTGGCACCTTTCCCGACTGGCATCCTTTATGGAAAGCCGCTGGCTTTGCGGGGATCCCCCAGCCTCCCCCCCTCCCCCGCAGAGGTTGGGAGGCAGCTCAGGCCTGCTCCGAGGAGGGGGGCTCTGCCCGGGCCCCCTGGCCGCCTTGCCCGCCCCCCCCCCAGGCCAGACCTGGCTTTTGCAAAGGCCGCCTGGGTGGGTCGCTCTGCCAGCCAGGAAGGAGCCCGTCCTGCGGGGGAGGCGCTTCGGGGGCGGGGGGCAGAGACCCGGGCTCTCTTCGCAAGCCTCCCCCCTCCCCACTTTGCGATCCCGGATGCGGCTCGATGCCCCGGCCTTGGCAGGCTGAAAGGGGAGGGGGCGTCTAGGGTGCCACCCCCGGGCGGAGCCCCATCCCTCCCTCCCTCCCCGCCAAAGCCCCGCCGGAGACCCCAAGGACGCCCCCCGCCCCCCGCCGCGTGCTGCGGCCGAGAGGCGAAGGGCGAGCCCGACCCTCCCCGCGACCCCCGCCGTCCGCCCCGGCCACGCACCCGCCGTCCATGCGCCCCGCCGCCCGCGCGATCCGGAGGGGCTGCGGCCGAGCCGGGCCTGGCACTTCCTGGGTGGCGGCGCCGCCGAGAGGAAGCGCAACCGGGAGCGCCGCCCCGCCGCGCAGGAGCAGGGCGGGGATGGCTGGACCGTCCCTCTCCGGAAGGGAGGGAGGGAAGGAGGGAAGAAAGGAGGGGGGGAGAGAGGAGGAGGGAGAGGGAGGACCCCTCTTCCATTGGGAAGCCCATCATGCTGGGCCGGGCAGGGAGGGCAGATTGGACGAGCTACTCATCTCCTTTGGGGAAGCCCATAAGGCCCAGCAAGGTGGGGGGAGGAGGAGGGGATTAGAAGCCGTGAAAGGCTCCCCTCCCTTGAGACCCATAATGCTGGGCAAGGTGGAGGAGGGGACCTCGTGAAGCAGTCCAGACCGGAGTCAAGAGGGACCCCGGGAATCCCCCCCCCCTCAGTGGGCGCCTCTCTGGAGCCGGGCACAGCTGCAGGGCCCCCCTTAAACCCCACCAAAGGCTTCTCCCACCACCCAACCACCACCGATCCAGGCGTTGCCTGGTGGCCTTGCCAAGTTCCGGACCCTCCGGACCCTCCCAAACCCCAGACTGCTGAGCAAGCGACCCCTCGGTGAAGGGGCTGCAAGGCCCCCAGGTGGGAGACTCCCCTTGGGCTGGGGGCCTTTGGGTGAGTCTTCGGCACCTCACAGTCTCCTCCACAGCCCGGGGGTCCAAGCCTCATCTAGGACACCCGTGTAGAGCACGAGGGCTGATGGGAGCTGTAGTCCAGCACCCCTGCGTAGAGAAGCCAGCCCTCTCCTCGCCCCCATGCCCGAACCCTGCCCTGAACACCCAAACCCACCCGCTGCCTAGCCGAAGGGAACTTTCTGGCGTTGAGGTTGCCGAGATCGGACAAGCGTCTTTCCGAGAGAGAACTCTGCTCTTTCATGTCCACCCTTGGCCCCTTTAAGACCTGTGGACTTCAGCTCCCAGAATTCCCCAGCCAGCCACCCATGGATTCTGGGAGATGAAGTCCACAGGTCTTAAAGGGGCCAAGGCGCTTGAAACAGCTCCGCGACTGGAAAGCCAGGAAAGAAAAGGGATCAAAACTGGAAATCACGAAAGAAAGAAAGAAAGAAAAAAAAAAGGGGGGGGGGTCAAAGACACCACATATTTTATTGCAACAGAAAAGGCTCCTATATACAGCAGGGAACTCCCAGGGCCGAAGCGCGCGGTTCCCCCAGCAGGGCAGCTGCCCAGCCCACAGTCCCCTGTGGCCGGGGAGGGCAGAGCTGGCGAAAGGACCCTCTGGGCCCCCCCCCCTGCCTCTTCCGACAGTCCCAGGCCCACCCAACGGCGGCCTCCGTGGCTGCTCAGTCACTGTCGCTGCTCTCGCTGCTCGACTCCGAAGGGGCGTCGCTGGGACTGGCCTCCCCTTCCTCCTCCTCCTCTTCCTCATGGTTGGAGTGGTCGCTGCCGCTGAAGAAGGGGCTGTGGCTGCCCCGGTGCTGCTGCTGCTGCTGCTGCCGGCTGCCCCCGTCTTCCTCCTCCTCCTCCTCCTCGCTGCCGCTCTCCTCGTCCGCCTCTGGCCGGTCGCCCTCCGGCTCAGAGTCTTCCTCATCGTCGTCGCTGCCGAAGATCTCCTCTTTGTCTCGCGCAGCCCGCTCGTCCTCCTCGCTCTCCTCGGCCGGGACGCCCTCGCTGGGGGAGCGGACTTCCTCCTCCTCCTCCTCTTCCTCCTCCTCCTCTTCCTCCTCCTCCTCCTCGGCTTCGCTGGCCTCCTTCTCGCTCTCACTGCCTTTCTCCGGCTCTTCGTCTGAAGTGGGGGAAGACAGCAGAGGGGATGGTGGGTTGAGCGCTCGAGAAGCCCCCCCCCTCTGTGGTGGCGGGTGGGCCCTTAAATGTCCTCAAGGGGCCCCAAGGAGAAGCTGGGATGGTCGCGGTTTGGTCTCCTGAGGGCTGGGCCCAAAAACGGAGGCCAGGTACGGTTTCTAACAGGTTCCCGAAGGAAAGCGAGGGCGTCTGCTGTCTATTCAGACGGGAAAAATGCACAGGAAAATCCCCCCGTGCCCATGCTAACCAACCCAGGCTGGGCTCCGGGTTCGGGCTGTGAAGGTCTGCACGCAGGGGCAGGTTTAAGAGAATAACCTTGAGAACCAAAGCCGTGCAGAGGTCCTGCCGGGCTCCGCTTATTTCCACTGGATTCCGACTGAGCTCCAGTGGGCCAGAGAGGAAGAGCCGGGGAGGGGCCGGATGTGGCTCTCTGGGGCCAGCCGGGATCTGGGAGGAAGACCACCCACCTGAGCCTGGGGCCTCCTTGCCCAAGTCCATCTCCTCCTCTTCCTCCTCCTCGGGTTCGTGGTTCTCCAGCTGGGCTTTGCGGGCTTCCTGTGAGGGGAGCGAAGGTGCCCGTGTGGGACGCTCAGCTCAAGACTCCCTCCCTCCCTCCCTCGGCCGCGGGGAGGGGCGTTCGGGCAAAGCCCCGGAGCCCCTGTGGCCCAGCAGCAGGGCCCCTCTGCCCACTAGGACACCCAGCCCTACCTGTGCCTCCAGCTCCTTCTCGTTCATGTCCCTGTGTTTCACCACCAGCACCGCGTTGGTGCCTGACTGGACGCCGGCCTTGGCTCGCCGCTTGCTGAGCCGCACTCTGCCAGGGGAGGAGGGGGTCAGAGAGGGCGGAAGCGGCCTGGGGCCCCCTTGCCAGCATCTCAGTCGCCCCCCCCCCCCGGCCCCTTTTATCCGAGGACCCACAGCTGGACAGCATTCCCAACACCCCCTCCCTTACTGGGGAAAAAGGAGGGCAGTGGTGAAGGAGGAGCACAGTATAGGCAGTCCTCGGCTGACGACAGTTCATTTAGTGACCATTTGAAATTACAGCATTACCGGAAACTGGGTCATAAAACAACAATGCAGCCAGGGAGGCCTCCCCACGCCGCTCAGCCTGCCAAGGTCCCAGCAGCTCCACCTTCTGTGCCCCCCCGCACATGGCCTACCCCAAACCCCCCCCCCC